GGGTGTGTGTGTGTGTGTGTGTGTGTGTGTGTGTGTGTGTGTGTGTGTGTGTGTGTCCTTCAGGATATTTTTGCAGCCATCCAGGCTGAATCGATGAAACAAAAACCTTTTAAGGCTCAGTTAATCTACAAAGTGTTGCAAACGGGATGCTGTAATTCACAGAGGGCTTCAGATACATTGTCTGTTTGAGGGCTACAGTAGTCCCTCGTTTATCACGGGGGTTATGTTCCACACGCCCGCACCAAAAACTGTGGAAAAACTGCTAAGTAGGGACGTTATATTCATTTTAGTATTTATAAATATTTTAAGGCTTTATAAACCCTTCCCACACTCTTGCAATGTTCTAAACTCTTAAACCTACATAATTTTAACAACATACTACGGATGCACGATATTATCGGCATGGTATCGGGATCGGCCGATATTAGCGTTAAAGTTCAATATCAGCCATTCCATCAAAATCACTCACCGATATAAAAGGCGCTGTTTTTGTATGACGACCCAGTGAGAAGAATGCCTGCAGCGGCAGCACAACGCGATGTCAAGAGTGCCTACCTGATCTGCTCACGGCGGAGAGGAAAATTCAAAATGTCGGCGGTGGCTCTCAGAAAGCACGTTTGGGGGTGAATCTTAACTACTACCACATCAAATTTAAAGTCCTTATTTAAAAAACTGACCGATTAAAAAATATTAAGTTCAGTTGGCTGTGGCAGCCATTTTTAACAATCTGATAGGAATTAAATATTTTTACTTTTTACTTGAATGCTCTTAAATGTTTGTTTTAACCATGACCTCACTTTCACTTTTTATTTTATGACAATTAGCTAACAGACCAAGTAATCGATTAATTAGTTAAAACACAAACTTCTGTTTTAGTTTAGTTTAATCTAAACTGAAGTGAAGCTCACCAGAGACTAAACACCATAAACTAATCTGACATGTTCTCCTTAAATTCCAAACTTTTGCTTTAAATATCTTTTATAGTCCAAGATAAACTTCAGACTAAAAAAGCCTGAAATATTCACGTCCCTGGTAACGATTTCAGTGTTTGTTTGTTTTTTTTAGGCGAGAAACTGAATGTCAAGTTAAAATGAGCTGTAAAATGTTTAAAGCGGCTTCAAACAGTGAGAGGGTTTGATCCAAAAACATAGTTAGATTTTTACACTGATTATGAACAACTTAACTTATTAAGTACTCAACTTAAGTAATACTTGACTAATACTACGACTTTACACAGAGGCTGTGTGGATCAGTTTGACCCCAGGGCAGCAGGAGGGTGAACTCCTCTGTAAATATTCACTGTACTGAGATCAGTTTTTCTTCTGTATGTTTTTCGGCACATAACTCGTTCCACAATTTGTGCCATTTTGACAATTCATAAAACGTTCAGCTCGTTCAGGACATTCCTGCTGGGACTTTTGGTATTTGTGCAGTTATTACTGTTTGAAATATTTAGCTTTGTCGGCCATGTTTGTCCTCATTGAAAATGAACGGAGCTCTCTTCATATCCTTTGTGATGTTTACAACATTTTACTGCTCATTTCAGCTCATTCTGGTTCAGCTTTGTGCTAACTTAAGCTCCTTTTAGCTTCTTTCTACTCATTTCAGCCTTTTTCACCTATTTTTCTGCTCATTTCAGCTTTTTTTTTCTAGTTTCAGCTTCTCCTTTCTGCTTCATTGTGCTAGTTTAAGCTTTTCATGGTCCTTTGACTTCTTTCTGCTAATTTATTTACTTTATTTTCTAGGTTTTATTTATTTCTTTTTTTTCCCTTCTAATTTTAGCCTTTTTTTTTTTTCTAATTTCTGTATTTTGTGCTTCTTTTAATAATCTCTCAGCATTTTAGCTTTCTCAGTAACTTTCTTTGCTTCTTTCAGCTTTTTTTTTTTTTGCTCATTTCAGATTTTTTTATAATCTGTTCAGCCTCTTTCTGCCTATTTAAGCGTTGTCTGCTCTATTCAGCTTTTTCTACACATTTCTGCTTTCAGCAAATGTCAGCTGTTCAGATTCATCTCACGCTAACAGCTCACTGATGAAACCTTTTCATCTGGTTTCAACTTCAGCAGCTTTTATCCAAAACCATTGAGCAGAAAGCGTACACGCTGCATTTTCACAGGAAACACTATTCCTCTAGTTGAGTTTGAAACAGTCTAAAATGTCTGAGTGATGCCTAAAACATCACCAGAGGGGGTAAAATTGTGCTGCTTCAGCTGTTTTGATAAAAACAGGACAAACAGCAAAACACTTTTTTTCTTTCGTCTTGATTTTACTTATTGTGTGTCATCATTAGCAGTTAAACACACTTCCTGTTTGTTTTTTAGGCTGTACGTGAGCGTCACTTTGAGACGCAGTTTCTGATGTGAAGCTTGAGATTTTGCGTGTGATAAATTATGCATGACCTCGCTGCAGTGGAGTGAGCGTGCTCCTGCAGCTTGAAGAAATGCAGCCGTTTCATTGACGCGTTGTTTTGTTTTTCAGAGCTGACCAACGAGCTGAAGGTAAAACCTCCGGGCAGGTCTCAGATCGGTATGCACTCACATTCACCTCTTTGATGCACATTGTTTGGTCTCCATTGTCCTTTTGTTTGTCAGAACTCAGTTTTATTTGTTCTCCATGCCTAAAAATAGAGTTTCAGTACGTTTACATTACCTCTCCTCCCCTCTCCGTCGAGCGTCTCTGAGCTCCCACCGTCCCTCCCCCAGGGAGCTGATCTAACACTCGTACTCCCTCATTTATCTGAGTTGGGAAAGTCGTGCAGATGTGATCACAGCTGGAAGGAGGTCACACCAACACATTCAGATCCTGGCTGATTTCCAGCCGTGGCTGCACCAGTGTGGAGATGGGCACCATTTTGTCACCGAGTGGAGGAAGAGAAGTCCAAAGGAGGGTGGGGTCCTGCTTGGCTGCATTTCTCTGCCATTAGAGCCCCCGTTTTTTTTTTTTTTTTCCCAAAGCCCCCAATCAATGCAGCGTCTGTTCTCCCCCCATCATCACAAATCGATCTGTTTCCCTTTTTCTCCTCCTGCTCTCGTTCCTCCTGGAGGTCCCGGTGGGAGTCTCGGGTTACAGACTCCTGAGATGTAAAGGGACTGGAAGATGAGAGATGGAGGGATGGAGATGTAAATGTGAGGGGATCAGGATATGGTCAGTGACGGGTGTTGGGTGGGTGGGTGGGGGGGGCATGAAGATAACATTTTTATAATTCGATAATGAGCTCAACCCATGCAGCGATGAATGATGGAAACAACGATTTTCTGTCCTCGGATGGTCCGTCCTGGAGGACAGAGGGACGAGGAATAAGAAACAAAGAATGGTAGAAGATAGATGGTTAAAAAAAAAGAGAATAAACTGCACGTCTTGAAGGAATTCATATCTAAACAAACTGCACGTTATGATGAGACGACAGAGTTGTAGACAGAAAACATTTTCTGAGTTCAGTGATGATGATGATGATGATGATGATGATCATTTGGTCAAATTTTACAAATTTGTTGCTAAAAATGTCACTTTGTCACAACGCAGGTCTTTTCTGCAAAGATGTGTTCACAACGCAAAAATTTAATCCAGCTGTTTATTGATTGTAAAGGTCACATTTAATTAAAGTTTTATTAAACATCATAAATCTAACAAAGGATAAACATAACTGGGTGTAATTTTATTTAGTTTGTGTTTTAGCTTGTGCTTCTCGTCATTTTTTGTAAAGTCTTCTCGACTCTGAGTGCAGCGTGTCATGAGCTACATAAATGTCATCAATTCAAAATGTTTGTCAATTCTCTTCACTCATAATTAACAAGTTCTGGTGTGTCTCTGTCAGAGCTACAGGAGGAGGAGGAGGTCCTGGACGCTCGCTGTCGGGAGTTGGAGAGCCGTCTGTCTGAGCAGGAGAGCACTTTAGGAGAGCTTCGTAAGGAGCTGGGCCACAAAGGGGCTTTGGTGGGGGCCCTCAGAGCCAATCTCAAGGAAAAGGAGCGGCATTTCCTGGAGGAGCTCAAACGCCGCAGCCACTGTTCCACCGTCCTGAACACGGAGCTGCAGAAGCAAACGGAGGCAGCGGCGTACCTCTCCTTCCAGCTGCACGCCGCCCGGCAGAAGCTGCACCAGCAGCGGCTGCAGCAGCGGCAGGGACTCCTCTCCAGAGCCAACAGTCAGGGGATCCAGTATGGCGCCGAGCAGAACTCCCCTCTCGTGGGAGCCTCCCCTTCCTCTCCTGTGGGCAAACCGAAGCGTAAGGGCACCAGGGCCTCTTGGAGGGCGGAGCGTGCCCGAGAGTGCGTGCCCATGGAGAAGGTGACGGGCCCCGCAGAGCCCACGGCCATGCCGGACCCTGCACTGTTCCTCCATCCTCGCCGGCACCGAGCCCGATCCAGGCTCACTGGGGCTCAGAGACCGCCTCCTCTGGGTCTGGAGAGCGAGGAGGAGGAGGGACAAGCTGAAGCAGCCAGACTGATGTCTGCAGCAGCAGCAGCGCCCCCTGCTGCTGAGACGAACGCAGATTAGCAGCGTTCTCCTGTCGGGCTGTTAACGCTCGACTCACTTTAGCTTCGGTACATTTACAGTAGATACTATTTTATTATGTACTTTGATATAACCTTCAGTTATCTAAAACAAAGTTGGTAAGTCACTTTTAAAATTAAACGGATAGCTCAGATGTTTTGAAATAGGGATTCTGTGGAAACGTTGTGAACAAATAGTATCTTACCTGTTAAAGATACTGTAGCTTGGCTGCTAATTTTCATTTAACCAAACGATAACTGTTAGCACTCATGTTTATTTCTAAGTTATTATTTCTCACAAATCTTTGACCACAACTGATGCCGAAGGTTTTCAAGAGTCGTCGGTGCAGTGATGCGTGTTGGTGAGAAGTATTTTTTTGAAATGCGTCGCACTCCATTTCTCCCCTTAAGTTTCCTCCGAGATTTTTGAGACTAAAAGTCTAACAGGGCTGCTGTTCACCAGAGAGCATTCATTTGGACAGACAGGAGATGTTTAATGTACAAATCTTAATTTTCAGAAAGTCTGTTTCAACTTTTACAAATGGACTTCTCTTGTGTGATGAAGCCACTCGGATACAAACCTGTTTTTGGATTGTTGAGTGTAACGCGACCTGCCTCGCTTTAATTCACTTCTGTGATTTTCATACAACTGAGTGCTGCAGTAAGGAGGGTGGGGCTGTCATGGCAGGGCTGCTGGGTGCTCTCCTGTTGTCAGGGTTTGTCCACACCCAGCGGTGGAGGTATAAGATACACGTTAAGAGAGCCAGAGAAGGCTTGTATAAAAATAATTTTTAAAAAAGTAAATTCACGTCATGAAACTGTTCTCATCAGTTTTTATATGCACAAGTCTTGATTTCTAATTTGTATCAGTTGTGGTCAAAAGTTTGCACTAAGAAATGAAAAAGAGCACTAACGTTTACTTTTCATGTTTTTTTTTCTTATCTTTTGACAGCAAGACATAGTTAGTCATCAAACAGAAATATCTAGACATTTGCCGTTTTTTTTTTTTTTACTATGAACTTAGAACAAATAGGGAGAGAGAAAATAAACAACCTGTGCATTACAAAATATGCAAATTATTTGGTATATAAAAAGAGGAAAAAAGGAATGGCACAGAAAAATAGCACGTCTACAAAGTCTGGTTGTAAAAGCTTTACTTATTACCCATTTAACCCACAAATTAAAAAATATGCTTTTCTTGAGACAAATAGGAACTAACTTTCCCTGTTATAAAAAAGAAACGTACAGAGGAACCGGCAGTAATCTTGGAGCACGTACTTTCCTGTATTAGAATTGCACAGTTCGTGTAGTTTGAGCACATCGATCAAATCTGGCACCAAAGTCAAAGGCTGTCGTCTTAAAACGACTCCAATTACAAATATGTCATAGTTGTTTATAGGGGTGCAACGAGTAGCTGGCCAATAATTTATCAGCCCCAGTTTCCTTAATTTTAGGAATTCAGCCGATTTCATGAGAAACCAATTTTACCAAATTTTTTTTTTTTTTTTTTTAGTTTTAACAATTGTCTGAACTTCATTTATGTTTCAGAGCACTACCTCATGGCCAGTTAAAACAAGTTTGTATTGTTTCTAGGATATTGTGCAAGGGCATGTTTTTCAATAAAATAATATTGGAAAATCGAAGGTGCATTGTGACCTGATAACACCCGACAGTGTCGCTTATAAAACAAAATCGCAATCGGCGGGTCAGACTTTTTAGAAATCTGTGATCGGCCAGAAAACTGCAATCGGTGCACCTCTAGTTGTTTATATAAGCACTTTAAAATAAATAATCCTTGACATTGGCATCAAGTTTACACAAAATTCTGTTCTTTTCAAGCACAAATAGCAGAAATCCACTCTGGACTTGGCTCCACGCAGACTAGCCTTTAGCTCATCATCCTGGTCAGAATTAAACTCTTTCTCCAAACTGATGCCGTTCAAAGAGCCATCTGCAACAGGTAAGATGTTAACTGTTCATAACCTTTCCACAGAGCCCCACGTTAAAAGAACTGAGCGATCCTTTTTTCAGGTTGCTTTGCACTGCTGGTGGGAGCTCTGTGTGCAGCGGAGCTTCATTTTGAAGTCGTCTCTGGTTTGAGATGACGTGACCGTGAAAGCAGACGTTCAAAGTGGACTTTAAGCCCACGTGGGCGACCCGACCAACTGTGATCCTTCAAGGCCGACCATAAATCAGCCCATCCATCCTCTAAGTCACAGCTGAAAATGCCTGAT